TGCAGCCGCACTTAATGGCGGCTTAAAACAGCAAAAAATAGTAACATTTCGCTCTGGTCCGCAACTTACGTTTTCTATTTTACGTTTTGCAACTCATCGAAAGCAGAAACAAAGTTAATTATATTCATGGCTATGACTTTTGTGGCAATTACCATTTTTACCCCGTATGAATATTTCCAACGGTACGCAGCGTAAACGAACTGTTAATTATTGTGATTGTGTGCTCGTATCTGTGTAGTATCTGTGTTGTTGCCCATGCCCACCCCTTGCCACGCCACCCCCCGCCACCCACAACGCCCCGTTGCATCGGTTACGTTACGCACTTTTCATTGCGTGTCCTACGTTTACGATTCTGAGTTTATGCGTGTCAAGTTGCGAAATTCATTATCGTAATATGTAGTTTGAGTCACTTTCCTTTGCGTCATTAAGTTGTTTTGAAATTAAAAAACACTTTATTGAAAAAGAAAATGGTTATGGAGGGTGCACTATAAAATGTATCTTAAAATTGCTGGTAATTTTCCATGGTAATCAAGATATACATAATTATAATTCAGTTCCACATGAAACATAACTTCCTAGATGGAGAAAATCCATAAATAAATGGAAGCTAAGTAACCATAGTCAAATGTTATGACTTCGTGTTGAAGTAAAAATAAATGCAAACCTGTTTAAAAAAAACAGTTTTTTAAGATAATTATAATCAGAAGTTATGCTTCCTAATAAAAAATGTTGTCATAAAAGAGTCACCAAAGAGACAAAATGTTATTAAAATGGGTTTTTCAGTAAAAAAAATTATGATTATTATTAATTATAAACCAAGGCAAATGCCATTTAGTTTTGCGTTTATAGGGATGATATTATGAAATTCATTCACTTCGCATTTTCCACAAAAAGAAGGGGATGGTAAATAAAAACCACAACCTTTGAATACTCTTGGTTTAAAGGAGATTTAAACCAGTTTCTTTGCAAAATATATTTTTAAAATCAATTAATTCTATCCACCTTTTTCAGTTTAATATTTCCAAGAATTTTAAAATTGTAAGCAATTGTTAATGGCACTTCTATTTTATTGGCTGGCCTAAAGAACCATTATAATGACAATAGAAATTTTTGGTGATACTTATCGCATAAACGCAGAACTAACCGTCACCCGCAGACACCCGCAGCCCATCCCCCACATTCAATCATATGTGCCCATTCTGTCCGTTGTGGACAGAACCGTGGAACCACACCCATCGCAACCAGCACGACACCCACCATTCCCAGACCCACCATTTCCAGGCCCACAATCCCGCAATGGGTCGTCGTCCCTAATGGCCGTCCATCAGCGTCGGCTCCGTCAGCTCCGCCTGATAAGAGCCATGGCCAACATATTTGCGTCGTTCCACACGTGCCGCCAAGAGGCTTTTGGGCTGGGGCTCTGCACTGGAATCGGAATCGGGCCTTCGTTTCACCCGTAGACGTGACGACGACCTCGGGTCGCGGCTTTGCCTTTTGGCCACCAACTCACCAACTCTAGTTCGATACGTTCCGCGTTAAATAATTGCTTAAATGCAGTTCCCATACACGCAAATGCGTGTGTTTTCTTTTTCGGTAATGGCAACAATCGTGAATCCACGGCAAGGTTAAGGTCAGGGCATGATTAATCGCAGTGACTTTTCTATGGAGCTGCACGAAATTCGAACAGTGGAGTATCAACCATATTAGTTATAGTTTTAGGATTTTGCTGGTACTTTATATAATGAAAACATAAAAGTACTTAGGAAATGAGGGATCCCAATCCAACATTATTGTCCTATCTATGTACTTATAAAAATGTAAAAACAATATGGTAACAAACCGGCGCCTTTAATTTCATCCCTACCTTTTATTTTAACTTCAAAGAAAAGTTTATAAGTTCACCTGAATAATATTACTAATACCTTCCAAGTGGACCCAAAGTTTAATAACAATATCGTATATCAAAGTTATTCACCAAAAAGAAAATCAACAATTTGTTCGATTTATGACCATTTTGAGCGCGTTTATAAATACGTTCGAACCTTGATTTTATTTGCTGAAGCTATTAGTCAGTCATCGACTTTAAAAATATTCCTGAATAACCGTTTAACTAAAAATTAACCCTAAATAGCTATTTTTTGGGTGAACATGTCTATTGAATTGTAAGTTATCATTTTCCTGGCGTTTCTTATCACTGACCACCCTACCAAATTATAAATTGTACAATTCCCATGACTAAATATGCCGCATTACTCACGAACCTCTTGATTGCGCTTTGTTTTTGCAGCCCGAAGCAGAAGAAAGCCGTTGCCGGTAGCTCCGGAAGGGCGAAGAACCCGAACCTGAACCTGGCGAGGATTGCAGGGACCGAGGACAATTATAGACACATTCGTGCCGCCGCTAGAGCCCTTCCGATGTCCAATAAAATCAACCCGAAGCGCCGCGAACCGACAGCAGCAGCAGGAGCCGGGGTCACGGGAGTGCCCACCAACACGAGCAGCTCGACGGGATCCTCCAGTGCCGGCAACACGTCCTCGGCCAACACATCCTCGTCGTCCAGCTCATCGTTGTCGTCCGCCGGCGGCGGTGATGCGGGCATGTCCGCCGATCTGACCTCGCTGTTCGAATGCCCCGTGTGCTTTGACTATGTGCTGCCACCGATCCTGCAGTGCTCCAGCGGGCACCTGGTGTGCGTCTCCTGCCGCTCCAAGCTCACCTGCTGCCCCACCTGCCGCGGCCCGCTGGCGAATATTCGCAATCTGGCGATGGAGAAGGTTGCCTCGAACGTCAAGTTCCCGTGCAAACACTCGGGCTACGGATGCTCCGCCTCGCTGGTCTATACGGAAAAGACGGAGCACGAGGAGACGTGCGAGTGCCGGCCCTACCTGTGTCCGTGCCCGGGCGCCAGCTGCAAGTGGCAGGGCCCGCTGGACCTAGTCATGCAGCATCTGATGATGTCGCACAAGAGCATCACGACGCTGCAGGGCGAGGATATCGTGTTCCTGGCCACCGACATAAACCTGCCCGGCGCCGTTGACTGGGTGATGATGCAGTCCTGCTTTGGCCACCATTTCATGCTCGTGCTGGAGAAGCAGGAGAAGTACGACGGCCACCAGCAGTTCTTTGCCATCGTTCAGCTGATCGGATCGCGCAAGGAGGCGGAGAACTTTGTGTACCGCCTGGAGTTGAACGGGAATCGACGACGACTCACCTGGGAGGCCATGCCGCGTTCGATCCACGAGGGTGTGGCCTCGGCGATCCACAACTCGGACTGCCTGGTGTTCGACACGTCGATTGCGCAACTGTTCGCCGACAATGGCAACCTGGGCATAAACGTGACCATATCCCTGGTCTAAGCGCACTGTCAATTCGCTGAGTTCTTTAATATTTTTGTGTTTAATTCTTCGGTACATATATATATATATACATATAGTTTATAGCCCTCTGTTCGCATCAGGCGTTCAACTCTTGGTCAGATTGTGAGAGAGTTTTGCAGAGTTGTTTTATAAAAATGATTCTCTATTCTAGGAGCCACTTACATGCATATGTATATATATCTATGAACATCGGGGCTGTTTCGATTTTCACATTCAGCAAGATAGGTATTTCTTTGTTATTTAAATTGGGCGAAAATGTTAGTGATTAGCCGAGATTACGCATAAATATGTGCTTTCGCTTTGTGTTTATGATTAAAAATGGGATAATCTACTACTATGTTTCTAAAAGTAAATGGAAAACCTATGCCCAGAAGTTATATATAATTTTATATTGGTTAGTTACAACAAATCCTATAAACCGCGTTAAACAATTGTGTTTTCCCTGTTTTTTTTAATACGTTTGTCAAGCTTTCGCGACTTTAAATACCATTGTAACTCTTGTCGCAAGTGAAAATCGAAAAAGACCTGTATGTTTGTATGTCTAAACGGTTCGATTGGTACTCTAGTTCTAGGACTTGATTTTTCAGTTACCGCACACACTATATTTCAACGTTTCGGTGTTGCCTGTTTTGTTAGGAGTTAGTTCGTGGGGTTCTGCTTTAGTTTAATTTAGTTCTTAAGGGCCACACACCTGGAGCAGAGCTGCCTGCGCGTGCCCACGTGCCCACCACCACCCACTACAGTGAACACTAGGAACACAGATCCACTCACCACCACCACAACAACAACAGCGGAAAAGCGGAAACGGCAAGAATGGCGATACAGTGGTCACTCATCACACTCGAACATGTACTGCAAAGTCTAGTTTAGTTAATGTAAATTATTTTATACAATACTTGTAAATGGTAATAAGTAAAACGAACAGTTTAACGAAATTAACAAACCTAATAACAATAACAATAGCAGCAGCAGAAGCGAAGAGACAACAAAGAAAAATAATATCTGATAGCGATAATAATCTGTAATAACTCGAGAGTTGTTTGAAAGTTGCAGCCTAAACGACAAATGCGACCAGCAATTTTGTTCATGCCAAAACCATCACAAAATTAACGAAACTAACTAAACAAGAAAACAAAATTATTTTTTTTCGCAATGCTAAAAAGACAATGGCTCCCTCCCCTCCTCAATTTTCCCGCCCATCCCGAAATGAGAAAAAAAGCAATGTTAATGTTTAAATTTCCACCTAGTTTAGACGATCTCCCCGGTCCGGCTCATGTTTCTGGTTTTGATTTCTTTCGGCCAACGTTTCCCAATCGAAAACGGAAGAAAATAAATGATTTTAAGCATCTGCACCGTAATTAGCTTTTAATGCGCCGATTTACCGCGCCACTACCATACGAGATCACTTACACAGACACAAAACTACAAAAGTGAAATAAACGTGATTAGTAAAAGTAAAAAAATGTTCGTTAATTTTTTAATTTTATCGGGTAGCTGTACGTCATTAGATGTAGATTATTATAATTTTTGAAATATTAATATATTTTCTGTTATTATCCTACCGGTACCTCTTATATTTTTCAATCATTCTGTTTTTTTAAAGTCTTTCATTGAACTTATTGTAACATACTTGTATACCGAGTAGGCCCAGACTTTGTGTACTCTCAGATTATCTATTTTTTGGTACAGATACAGATCAGATTTTCTACAGATTTTAAAACAGACCGAAATTTACGTGTTCCGGATAATATTAAATCAAAACAAAAATTGTATCAAAAATTTTCTCCTTTTGGTTGTGTAAAAGGTAGTAAGTTTGGTATTTCGCGTTAGTTGTTATCTAAGGTGTAGATGGCTTTTGGGAACTCACGTATGTCACGTCCGAATCGCGATAGTGTTCCCAGGACTGCCGGTGGTGAGATGTTGGCTCGTCGTCGATCGGCTCCCGACTTGGCCTCACCGCCGCCGCCGCAGGAGGCAGCTGCTCCTCCGCCAATTGTGGTGGTCAAGCAGGAATCTCGGGATGCGTCTGCCGGTGGCGAAGTGGTGCCTGCGATGGAGGATGACTCTGAGGTGGACCAGTCGCCGGCCGAGACTCCAAGGACTTTGGCTGTACGAAAGGGTGCGGCTTTAGATGAATTCCTGCTCTCCCTGCTGGAGTGTCCCGTTTGCTTTTGCTACATGATGCCGCCGATTATGCAGTGCTCCCGTGGCCACATGATCTGCACCGGCTGCCGCCAGAAGGTGGGCACATGCCCCGTCTGCCGGGTGTCCATGACCAACATCCGCAGCCTTTCCATGGAGAAGGTGGCCTCCAAGCTGATCTTTCCCTGCAAGCACTCGGATTTCGGCTGTCGAGCGCAACTCTCATATGCGGACAAAAGCAGTCACGAGCAGGACTGCGACTGTCGTCCCTACTTCTGCCCCTATCCGGATGACAAGTGCCGCTGGCAGGGTCCGCTGAGGGATGTGTACCAGCACCTGGTCAGCACCCACGAGAACGTCATCACCATGGAGGGCAACGACATCATCTTTCTGGCCACCAACGTGAATCTGGAGGGTGCCTTGGACTGGACAATGGTTCAGTCCTGTCACGGACGGCACTTCCTGCTCTCCCTGGAGAAGATCCATCTGGGCGAGGGATGTCAGCAGTACTTCACCGCCTGCCGCATGATCGGATCCATGAAGGATGCCGCCGAGTTCGTCTATAACATCTCGCTGGACGCCAATAATCGCACCTTGCGTTGGCAGTCCAAGCCAAGATCGATCCGCGAGAGCTTCGTCTCGTTCACCAACGCCGATTTCCTGGTGCTCAACAAGTCCACCGTCGAACTGTTCTCGGAGGACGGCAATCTCGCCCTGAACGTAGTCATCAGAAGGGCTCAAGAGGACGCCAGGGAGATCGCTAACTGAGTCTGCTGGATCTTTGGTCACCCTAAGCACCCGACCTCACCATTTCAGTTTAATAGCTGTTAACGTTGTTATTTAATTGCTTATACAATAAATATTTTGAATGTGCCCAGTGGGCCCCGTCAACTCCAATTAGCCGGTTTTAAGGTTTAATGAGAAACGTTTTAGAAAAATGTATTATAAGAAAGCCCTGTCATTATTGTTAAAAGTACCAATTTTAGTATATTAGTATAGATAAAAGATATGGGACTGTGTTATGCACTGAAACAGGTGGTTTATTAAATTAGGATTAGAAAGCACGGTCTTTATTGCTATGAATAACTGTTCTGACTGTCTGAGGAAGTACGGGAAGAATTCCATTACAATACTCAGGAATATGACGAGAGATAAAAGAACCGCGGCTAAGTAATGTAAAAGATAGATCTATCTCTCTAAATCTATAATGCACTGCCATGCCTGTCATATAATTCAAATTCAACGCAAGAAGAAATTTAAAAATTTTGCTTATAGCAAATTGTATACCCTATACTACGGCTTAACCATGTGCTTCATAATGGTTGGTTGCAAGTACATAGCTGACATCTATCCGGTGCAGTTCGTCAAGACTGCACATCCCTTATCGGTGGGCCTCGTTATAGTGGGGACCGCTTTCTTCCTATTGGTGGAGATGTTCCTTATAGTGCCCATGATTTTTGACACCGGTGGAGTGTTGTACAAGCTCGCCTGGCTGGTGGCCATCTTCATTGTCTACAATCTTCTGGGAAATATGGTAGCCTGCTATCGCACGGACTCTTCGGTGGCTTCTCTGCCCAGGGATCGTCAAATTCCTGATCCGGAAGAAGAGCACCTGTGGCACCACTGTGACTATTGCCAGATGCTAGTTCCGGTAATATTATAGGTTTAATATCTGTATCTACAGTCACAGTACAGACGAAACCTTAATATATATATTTTTTTTGATTATACCAAGAGTCTATAGATATACTTCTTTAAACAGCCCAGATCCTGGCACTGCAGATTGTGCAATTGCTGCATTTTGAGGCGGGACCATCATTGCATCTTTACAGCCACTTGCATTGGTCACAATAATTACAGGTAATTATCACAGGAATAATATTGTACTGTCAATTTATTAATGTTGCATTTTAAGGTACTTCTTCTGGTTTACAGTATATTTGACGATCGGAACATTTTTGGCCCTGGCAACGCATGCACTCCTGTTCATAGTTAATGAGGAAATGCGAAGACATTATATGTTATACTACATAACCCATGCTTTCTTATTATCCGGACCTATAAAATTTGACCTTATGTCTGTTTGGATAAATTTAATATTGGTGTTCAACGTCTATGCCTTCACTTTTCCCCTCGTGATGATGGCCTATCAAATACCGACATTATATCTGAACACAACATTCTATACGCCCAGGGATTTCCGATACAATAAGGGCTTACGAGAAAACTTTAAGATTTTTATGGGCAGTCGAGGAATCTGGACTTTTATATCGCCCACCATCAAGAGTCCTTTGATTCACGATGGAACGCAGTGGGAAACTAAGCAGCCAAGCGTCACCATTTGTTAATGGTTAATATCACCATACCCAAAATTCATAGAGTCGAAAATTATTTCCAGTTAAAGCAGAACGGATACTTTTAACTCGAGAAATAATATGAAAGATAAGATCATTTGGATGTGCTTAAAATTAAATAAAAATAGGATAATATTTAATAGTAATTTTTAAACCGACTTTTCCCTCTGTTTTAAGGACTATATTATGTTTAAAAGTATATGCAGTACAAAACCAACGCTTACCTGGCACAAATCGGTCCCAAAACTGGGTTAGCGGCAGAACAACCCACGGTGTGCAGTACAACCAGATGACAATGTTCATTATGACCGCCTTGGTAAAGGTCATATTCCGGTTCATTGGCTTGGTGATCACATTGTAACGATCGTATCCTATGGCCGCGTTCGTCATCCCAGCTCCGATGCCCGAATACGAACCAATGGAGGCGAATATCTGGCACCAGGTGTTGCCCAATGCGAATCCTCGATGGAAGCTGTTGTAGATGAAGATCGGCGCCTTCAAGCACATGATCAGATCGAAAACGGCCAGGTTAAGCACAAACATATTGGATGGTGTTCTCAGCGACTTGGAGGTGCTGAAGATCCAGATGACCATGCCATTTCCCATTGTCGAAGCGAAGAAGAGGAATATGTAGAAGACGCCCAGCATGTAATGCATGGAGGCGGGCGGTTCCAGCTGGGTCAGCCAGTGCTCCGGAATATATTGTATCTGATCCGGGGGGACATTCCAGCCCAGGAACTGCAGATCCCCATTTCCCGAGGTCCGCGCCTCCGGTCGCAGCAAAGGCGGCTCGCTGGCGTTGCACAGCGGCTCCATTTGGGCTAACCCGATACCCAACCGATTTTCGAACCGATTCCTAACCGATACCCCTTTAACCGGTATCCGTTTCGCTCTGTGTGCGCCACAGAGCTGAACTGCCTTTAACCGCTGCGATGCCTCTTTATATCTCATTCTGCGTGCTGGGCAAATTCAATTAGACTTTGTGGTTGCGTGCTCGCAAAGACGATTTTCTGCCCAGTCTGCTAGAAAATAATATCAGCGAATTTTCACTGAATCACTGCCAAAGGGTTGGCTATAAAAATAATGACGTTAAGACCAAGTTTCAGGGACGATTTGTGCCCCCTTCAAAATAATTACGTTAAATTAAATTCTAGTTCCAAAATAAAAGGTACACAGTTTAATACATGAGGGTTAAACGTGATTTTTAAGACAGTCTTTTCTGGCAATATTGCTTAGAATTGTCCATAGATTGCAATATATTGCCTAAAAATCGACCAATCCTATTGCACGTATATAACGTACGTATTGCACGTATTGTAATCTAGTATAATTTGAAATTGTAATATATAACATGTTTTTTAAGGAGTGCGGGTTAATGTTTTTTAATCAATTTAAATTAAGAGTTTTTGACCGTATAATGTAAATATACTCCTAATAAAGAACATCATTCATCAAAGATAAGATCTCAAAATATATAATAACTAGATTGGACATATAAATTCTATTAATGTTGTCGATGTAAAAGTATATTATACAAAGTATCAAATAAAAGTTATATGCGTTATTTGACAGATTTTGTAAGTTACAATTTGAATTGCATTTTAAATCTTGAAGGTGCTGCCACATCGCGTTGGGAAAAACAGAGGAGTTGCCAGACCGCCAAATTGTTGACGTTTCGCGGTGACTGCACAAACAGGTCGCAAAAAAAACTAATCATTAAACATTAAAAAATGGTAAACAAGGCGTATCATGGATGAAGTGGACAAGATAATTATGCACCAGCTGCATGCTGTTGACCCGGCCATCGAGCCGACGGAGGAGCTAAGCGGATTCACGCCGGAGCAGGTGGTGCGTGCCGTTTCCGGCTGCTTGGCGGAGATCCGTCCCGATTTGCAGCTTCCACGGACTCTTCCCGGTGGAGCGATGGCCCTGCGCTTCGGAGTGGCCAGTTCCCTTGCCCAGGGATGCAAGGATACTGGCTACAGGGGCGACATCGGCTACCAGACCTTTCTGTATCCCAATGCCGTGGAGCTGCGGAGATTGCTGATGTTCCTCATCGAACAACTTCCGCGCGAGCGCCAAAATGCGGAGGATGGTGCCAGCAAGACGAAGTCCCTGAGCCACAGGGAACTCCTGCAACGGCAAATCCGTAAGGAGCTCACCCAACAACTAAAGACGCCCTGGGTGCCCCAGTTCGCACGGTCCGTGGGCAATCGCAAATCCTTCGGTTGCAGTAGCCTGGGCATCGAGTTCCGGCCAAATATCAATCTCAACATTCCATCCGCCAATCCCGAGGAGCGGTCCAAGGAGCAGCAGCAGTATTTCGACCAGCAGGCGCCCAATGTCTTTCAGCAAACGGCCTCCAGTAGGGTGGATCTCATTGCCTCGGTGCTGCACAAGAACGAGCTGGACAGATGGGGTCAGGTCGTGTCGGATTCGGCGCTACTCTTTGTGGCCAGCGAGGAACCAGCTACGCCTTTGATTTCTGCAGTTAAGTCGCCGGCTAGCGCAGACGAAGAAGTTTCTCCTCTCCAGGAACTGAGCAACGAAGTCCAGGAGTTGCGTATTCAATGCGAAACCTTGCTAACGGAACGAAAAAGTCATGCTGCATCTGTGGCGGCTCTTAAGCAGCGGGAAACCAAGGCCAGCGAGGAAATAGCTCGCCTTCAACCCATGCTGAAACTACACGAACGAACCTCTTTAGTTCTGGCCGATTCCGAGGAGAATCTAATCAAACTGGAGACGCTACTGAAAACTACACAAAGCAAAAGGCAAACGCTCACGCAGCAGTGGCAGGATTACCGGAAACCGCTGTTGGAAAGCCTAGAGAAACTGAAGACCGCCAAGGAGGCTCAAGAGGTGCAGGGCATACGCAACAACATCGAGCAGCTGGAGCAGGAGCTTCAGGCCAAGACGCAACAGCACAACGAACTTAATGCCACTCTGCGGAACGCCAGTCAGTCCCTGGCACCGCGTAAGGAGTACACCCGCAGGATACACGAGTTCATTGGGAATATACGCAAGCAGCGAGCGGATATCTACAAGGTTCTGGATGACACACGGCAATTGCAGAAGCAACTCAATGTGGTGGGTGCCCAGTTGCAGCGTCAGTTCAACTACACGGACGATCTGCTCTTCCAGAGCGCCAAACACGATCTCCATGCGAAGCGGGCATATAAGCTCTTGGCCCAACTTCATGCCAATTGCAGTGAGTTGGTCGAGTGCGTCTCGCTGACGGGAAATGTTACCAAGCAAATTCGCGAGCTAGAGGTCCAAATCGATGGGGAGAAGCTGAAGAATGTGTTGACCAGCCTGCAGCAGATCACCGGCGACATCCAGAAGTTCGAGCAGCACATACAGGAGCTCCAGGGCCAAATAAGAGCCGCGGAGCAGCCGAGGGCAGGGAGTTAGTTTCCCGAAATCACTTGTTTGCTAGTGCCAATCACAATAAACGAATCGATGCACGCCAGGCGTTCATTTTATTAGTCAAAAATA